CCCCCCCAGCCTGCCCCACTCTGCTCCCCTCCCAGCGGCCACGCTGAGGCCCGGTTGGGAAACGCTGGTCAGCACTCAGTCCCCACTCATTGTACTCATGACCCCAGAATTCCTCACTCATCTTGCTCATTTTCTTAGGGTTTCTTATAGTTTTAATACACATTATGTATTTCTGGGCCAGATGTGGTAATGAAAATATTTATGATGTTAAAAGTGCTTAGCATGCAATTGATTTAACATCAATGAGTCCCCAGTTTGCTTGTCAGCAAGAGCCACAGTCCTCACATGAGAAGTCCCACTGATTTTAAGAGGATTACTTTGGTGAAATTCCCAAGGACGAGAGAGGATCACTGGTTGGCCTCACCATCCCTCTTCAGTAAAAGCAGAGGCTCTGCCTGTGTCTGGAAACCCACTGTCTCCCTCTGCTCTTGCAGCTCTCTCTGCTCTTCTTCCCCATAAAGGCACCGTATAACTTTGCAGAGAGTCCATTGCCATCCATCCTGTTTCCTTGCACATTTAACTCTTTTTGTTCTCCCTCAATCCTGCCTGCCCCGATACAGTTTGAATTCCGTTTTGCTCTGGCTGGGGAAGGGGAGCAGAGAGCTGTCCTGTCAGCCTCTTTGCCTACTATGAAGGTCCAAGGGACCCAGCTAATGTTCCCTCTAATCTTTTCCATCCATGTGCAGAATAAATTTTATGTGCACGGAGGCGTGTGTGAATATGCACCACCAGTAGAAACAAAAAACCCGTCTGTGGGCAGTCTGCTAATCAGCTGAGCAGCACTGGAATGTTTCCTGAGCTGCTGCATAAGCAAGCAACTTACAGGGAACACTTGACCTGGCCTTTAGGGCCTTGCCCAGCATCTGCTACTCATGTTGTGTCACACTTCCAGCCTCCACTACACGTGTCCTTCGCTGCTTCACTGCTGTTGTGATGCTAAGTCAGACAGTCTGCCTCCCCAAGAGCCAACAAAGCAGAGAGGATACAGTCAGTGAGACTAGCCAGCTTAGGAGGTGTATACAGTTTCATTTAGTATCCCCTTTCCCCAAGACAGACCCTGTAACTCTGCACCAATTTCATTATCTACCCTACCCATCCACAACTCTACACCCATTTCACTATCTATCCCCCCGACCAACAGCTCTGCACCCATTTCATTATCTATCCCACCTCACTGCACCCATTTCATCATCTATCCCCCACAGCTCTGCATCGATTTTATCTATCCCACCTCACTGCACCCATTTATTTCACTCTCACCCAACAGCTGTGCACCCATTTCACTATCTAGCCAACCTCACTGCACCCATTTCATCATGTCCCCCACAGTTCTGCACCCATTTCATCATCTGTCCCCCACTGTTCTGCACCCACTTCATTATCTATCCCATCTCACCCCTAGTTCTGCACCCATTTCAGTATTCGTCCCTCCTCACCCACATACCCACAACTCTGCACCCATTTCATTATCTCTCCCCCTTACTGCACCCATTTCAATATCTATCCCTGCAGCTCTGCACCCATCTCACTATCAGTCCCACCTCACCCACAGCTTTGCACCTATTTTACTATCTATCCCACCTTACTGCACCCATTTCATCATGTCCCACTTCACCCCTAGCTCTGCACCCATTTCACTATCTGTCCCACCTCACCCACAGCTCTGCACCCATTTCAGTAGCTACTCTCCCCACTCGTAGCTCTATCTACACTCATTTCTTATCTACTGTACCTCGCTCACAGACCATTCATTCATTCTCTCACCCACAGGCACTGTCCAGAGCTAGGTCAGTATTCCCACCCCACCACCTTTAAAAGTAGTTCTCTCCAGTTGAGTGTCTGGACATCTGGCAGTACCTTTCTATTCTTTGTTCTATCGTGGTGTATGTTTGCCTACCTAGGTAATAAATTTACGTTAAAGTTGTAGTATGTTGTCCCGGCAGTGCATTTTGGGATCCTAATTCTGATGACAAACTCTCCAGAATAATCAGTGTGGAGGCTGACTCCTCACAGACCACTACATTTTGAATCTGGAGAGATGAACAGAGTAAGCGACAAACTAGCAAAGAAATGGGAGGTCTTGATGTCTCCAAATTAAGAATGGATGCCTTTCTGGAAGATAGGCCATAGTCACATTATTGGACTCTGTGCAAGGGTCACTGGATGAAATTTAATGGCCTGTGATTTATAAGGCATTAGATTAGATCAGGGGTCTCAAACTCATGGCACATCTTCAGGCTGGATTGCAAATATGCTCCAGCCTGTAGATGGCCCACGGGCCGTGAGTTTGAGCCCCCTGGTCTAGATGGTCTGATGGCACCTTCTCGCCCACAAACTATAAACATTATCGAAGCACTATAAAAGTGTTTGTTCCGAGACTGGCCACATTTGGTCCTGGTCCAGTGCTCAAGCAGTGCTGCTGATCTGAGTGCCCAATGGTGGATTTAAGGTTTACTATATCTCAGGTCTTGAAGGCCAGAAGTTTAAGTTAAGGATGTTAAATTGCTGTTATCTGGATAATCATGTAGTCGATATTTGTATCGACTACACAATTAGTTGATAAAGGGCTTCTCTGCAGAGCTGTAGTGGAGGTAGCTCCCAGAGCCAGCTGGAACTGGATCTGAGAATCCTGGCTCGCACTGGCTCCAGGAGCCACCCATGCTGCAGCTCTGCACTTTAAATGTTGTAAAAGCTGCAGGGCCCTTACGTTTAAAATGAAGAGGTGCAGTGTTCCGGATGAGCACAAGCCAGGACTGCTCGGTCCCAGCTTGTGCCAAATCCAGCAGCTTCTGTTCGTGGTGACAGCAGCCCCGGCCACCGAGAACAGGGGCTGCTTGGCAGCAGTAGCCCCTGTTCATGGCAAGCCTGAGCCTGCCTCAGGCAGAGACTGCTTCCCAGGAGCCTTCCCCATTTCTCCCTCCCTCGAGGGGGCAGGCAGCACCACAGAGGTAGTGCTGGGGGCACCGGCTCCTGTTTGCCCCCTCCTTGTGGCCTCTCATACAGAGGAAGCTGGGTATTCCACTTGACTACCCAATAAGCTTATACTTATCAGGTATTGAACAGTCAACCACTTACTATCATCCCTAATTTAAATGAGGCATGCAAATAATTAATTTTTAAATTTTAATGAAAAAAAGTAGAACTATGTTTACTGCACTGAGTTTGGTTAATATTTTGGAATAAATCCTCAAGGGACCTTAGCAGTTATTTATGTGAAAATTAACTGAGTAACCAATAGAGATTAAGTAGTTTATTAAGAAAGGCAGACAGCTGCATCCTTTGAGAGACATAATGTAGATACATATACTTGAGCTTGAGACACAAGGCCATTGCCTCCTACACAGTACCAGCAACTTTTCATTATTCCATGTAAATTTGAAATGTAACATTAATACTAATTTAAGTAGGTACCCGATAGGAGTGGGATTTCAAAGCAGTTCCTGAACAAAGATAATTAGCAATTTTACTATTAGTCCCCATTAACAGATGCTGGACTCACAGAACTAACAGGAACTAACTATGTCAGCACGAGTGTCCCAGCTGCTGGCCCCAGGGTTCTGGATGCCAGTTCCTCTGCTGCCACCCAGGGTCGTGGCTGTCGGCCCTTTACCAGGGGCTCTGATGGCAGCCTATATCCCAGCTCCCAGCCCCTGTTGCCACTCAGCGTTTCAGCCTGGGAAAGTGAGAATAGACAAAATCCCTCCCCTTACACTTCTTCTTTGCCTTCTCCCCCAGCTGTGCCCTATCCCTGCTCCCCTCCTGGAGCTTGAATTCCTGGAGCTGATTCATGGCACTTGGGAAGAATAGGTGAGCAGGGAGCTGCCAGCATGCAAGAGATGTAGGACAGGACGAGCAGGCGAAGAGCTTGTGCCAGTGGGTGCTCCAGTCTGCACCATTTTTTCCTGTGTGTGCTCCAGCTTTGAAGCACCCATCAAGTCAGCATCTATGTGCCACACCGCCGATGTTGCCGGACTAGAGAGGTTCAACCAGTACTGATTTCAGCATCTATCTTTCTGCAGCTGCATGTGTCCCTATCTGTGTGTGTGCACTGGCAGAGGGTCTTGCTCAGCAGGTCCAGCTGGAAGTACAGGTGCACTAGGTATAGCAGGTGGCAACTCATCCCACACCCTTCTGGAGTTTAATGCCCCTGCTTCTATATAACATTTGAGACCCATACATTTGGAGGGCTATTTTCCTCCTTTACATCCTAAGAGGATAGAGCAACTGATTATCAAACCCTTCCTCTGACAGTGCTAATGCAATATGTAACCCCCACCATTTCTCTCTTTAATCTTCAATGTAGATAAAATATTAGTGCTTTATAGGGTCTTGTTTAAGCTTCATACATTCCAGAGTACAAATTTAACTCTGAATCAGGGAACTACAAGAATATTTTAAATCAATGTTTTGTTACTACAGTATGTAGAATCATAAATTCATCACAATTTTTACACTGTAAAAACCATGGAAGTCCATAATGTCTGTCTTTTCAAACAAGGCAGCACTTTTTTAGTAAAATTAGTCTCCAAAACTGTAGAGTCCTTCTCAGGGAGCAGGTGCTGCAAACTTAAACAGTAAGCTCCCCAAAGTGACTGGTTCTAAGAGGTGCTCAACATCCCCAAGTCCCAGTGAATTTAATGGGAGTTGTAACTGCTGAGCATCTGCACTTTAAAACAGCTCTTCAACACTATTAACCTACTACTGGTGGAGCTACAATAGTGGGAGATTTCCTAAAAAAGTCTAGGTTTTAGAGCCTTTGATTTAGACACTTGTACTGCTCCATAACCTTGATCATATAATAACTTTTTTCCTTTGGATTTAAATCTTTTACAGCTTCTGCCAATCTCATTACTTCAGTGCTGTTGCCTCCAATGTTTCTGAATGCTGTTAGAATATCTACATCAGTGACTTCCAAATGATCATAGTATTTCAAGATCTTTTAAAACATGTTGTTGCTAACTTTTATTAGCGGAGGCTGATGTGCACTAGCAGTTTTCAAACTTGTCAACAGTCTCATAAAACCCAGGCCTAACTTTCCTGATGCTCATGCATATATGTTGACATTCAACAGGCACAGTATGACCAGCTGATGATGGTGAGCTAGCAGTCCATGCAGAACACTGACGCTTTCTTTTCCCCTTAAATGAAAAATCTTTAACACCTTCCTCATCCTCCTCTTCTACAACATAGGATTCATTTACACTCAGACCTTCATCTGACTTACTAGTTTTGTAAGTCTCTTCTTTGACTCCTCTTGCTGCTTTTTCTTCATTTTTTTTCACATGTTCCAGGCACCGTACTTTTCTATTTTCCATCATCTTAATTTCTTTTTTGTCTATGAAATCTTTATGGTACATTTTTCTTTCGCTTCTTTGGTCTTCAAGAAATTTCCACTCAGTCTCTGTCATTTTTATACCACTATATTGTTCCAGCTCATTTCTTATCACTGTGTCTGTACAAAATATGTCAAAGAGCTGTTCTGTCCGCCTGTTGAATATGTCTGCTTTCTCTGTAAATGACTGATTTTGTCTTTGCTTCCTGGTTTGATGGAGTTTTGTGAATTCCTCATATATTTTGAGAATATTCTTCTTTATATGTTTTGTTGCTATGGTATGTAAGTTGCAAAACAACCAGTGTTTCTGCAGAAGTTCAGCAAGTAATTGGGCTGCATCTTCTTTTGACCTTTGTGCTTGCCCAGCTCTTTTGGGCTGCAACAGATACAACATGTTTTGAATAACATCCTTATTTGTAGGCAGCATTCCTTGAGAAAATTCTGATGACTCTATATAGTCAACATTTCCTAGAGTTTTCTTTGCTTTAGCCCCCGTATCCAATGGCTCCATCACTACTTTCTTATCCTCTTGTAATTTTAACAACCTGAAAATAAGATGAAACTCAAAATTAGATAAATGACATTTCTGCAGCAAGAACAAACATCGGAACAAGCTGGGGGAGGGTGGAGATGTTCTAATCTAAAACATAGTGTACACACATGCTGGGTAATCTCTTAGATCAGTCCATCCAGATGTCTACACTAAAATATTTATACAGATCATCGGGACATTTAACATTGCATAAAAAAGCTTATTTGGTTAGTTTTACCATTTCTTGGACTGAATTTCCTAAACTATAGCTCTTCCATATTACAAAAGCTCAACTCATTGTTTCAACTTCTGAAGCACAGAGTGGCTATACAATATACACTCTGAAAAAGTCAAAGCTTTACCTTGCATTCACACTTAAACGGATGCACGTGTAATGGATGTGCCATTATCTCAAAGGCCCATCCCTCACTCTTATTCTTTTAAAATGCATCCTGGCGACATCATCCAACAGCTACCCCTAAAGTATCCAATCCCCATTTGCACCACAATATACCCCCAGGATATGGCCCTGAACACCCTCAATTGACAGTATTTAATCTTTTGCAAAAATTATTAATCATTGTAAAAAGGTGCTGTTGCTCCAAAGCAGAGCCCTAATGAGATATAGTTGGGCACTTTTTCTTTGGCCCTGCTGGAGCCCAAATGAGGAAAAAGATGGTGTCAATCAGCATTATTTGGTTCATCAACTATAAGTCATGATTTGGCACCTGTACTTATAGCTGGGGAGCCAGTTAGCTCAGTCTGGGACACCTAGTGGCCAGGACTTGGGGATTTCAAAGATGAGGATTAACTGAGTGGGTCATGGGCAGAGGGTAACATTTAACAGGAGACTGCATACTCTGGAGGTTATTGCTAGGAGGAGGGAAATTGGCCAGAAATTCATGCTTGGGGTTGTTAGCTTAGACCAGCGTTTCCCAATTTTATTTGGCCATAGAATCCTTTCAGCTTAAAAGAATTTAAAGCAACCTTCAGGATTGCCAGGGTAAAGTTTATCAAGCAAAAAAAGCCACCAATGGGGAAACACTGGCTTAGACTGTATCTCCGCAGAGCCCGTTAGTGAGCGTGGGCCGCCCGAAGGAAGCGCTCACAGGCAGGCAGGCAGCGCTGGGGA